AGGAAGGAAGGAAGGAAGGAAGGAAGGAAGGAAGGAAGGAAGGAAGGAAGGAAGGAAGGGAAAACACAGAAAAGTTTAGCAAGCCAGGAGGATTGAGCTAATTAACTCTTCCATGGCCTCTGCGTCCGTTCCTGCCTCCAGATTCCTGCCCTGCTTGAGTTCCTGCCCTGACTTCCCTGGATGAGAGACTACATGAAATAAACCCTTTCCTCCCAAGTTGCTTTTAGTCACGTTGTTTGTCACAGCAATAGAAATTCTAATGTATCTGTCATGTGGGAACTGTTCAGACTTCAGGTGCAGTAACTGCAAACCTAGAGGCCCACTTGCCCACAAGCATAGGAATGGTTGCAACCGATGGGACAGGCACACTCTGCCACCTAGGGGCCCCTCCAGGAATTTAGGACTGTTTCCACTGGAAGCCAGCATGGAGCGGACCTGTGTCTACTGTCCTTCACCCAGCTTCTGGTAACCTTTAAGGCTAGGCACGAGATGATCTGAGATTGGGATTGTTCCTGCCAAGCGAGTGGGAAAACTCCACAGTGGCAGAGTGGGGTTGGGTACAAAAGGCACACAGCAGGGCCCGAGCCTCTGCAGCCTAAACACTTGCGGTCATGCAGCGTTTGCTTGGTTGGAGCGCCCCCGTGTGGCTCATATTGGCATTTCCTGTAGCACTGAGCCAGGCAGCCTACTGCTCCCTTCTAGAACAAGCCTCTGTGACAGACACTAGAGACCACATACTGCCCTGCACAGGAGGCCCGGCCCACACTGAAGACCAGGGACTTATATAAGGCATGCTTGTAAGAAATACACCCTAGTGTGATGTGAAATATGAGTAAATGTCTCCTACCACCCTGCTGAACAGACAGGTCTCATAATCTCATGCTTTTCAGAAAAAGGCTGTCTCCTGGAATTCTCCTGCACAGCCCCACAAGGGGACACACCCATAGCCTTAGGAAGAGGGAAGACCATCTCGCTGAGTGACTCACAAGAGTCAGCTTGCTCTCCACAGAGCGTGCCAGTCTTACTGAATCATAGACACCCTTGTTGAGGAAGAGAGGCTCATCTTAGAGAGCCCAGCCTGCAGGGCCTCCCAGAGTGGAAAGACGTGTGGGAGGGATGGACACAAGGTCAACATACAGGTGCTGAGCCTATGGTGATACTTTATTTGTGCTGAAATGTGATTTTATTTGTATGTTAATAAATAAAGTTGCCTGGAGATCAGAGCTCAAAGTGAGTCAGGCAGTGGTAGCCCACGCCCTTAATCTGATCACATGTCAGGCAGAGTCTCTGTGTGGTCAAGGACACAGCCAAGCGTGGTGATATGAACCTTTAATCCCAGTACCAACCATAGAGACCTGGAGGTCTGTATAGATAGGCAGTGATGAGGAAATCATGTGGTTGGGTTTAAAGCCAATGAGAAGGCAGAACAGAAAGGCAATACAAAGACAAGTCAGACAGGAGGAAGCTCTCTCTGGGGAAGCTACCGCTGGTGCTAAGCGAAAGTTCGTCGTGGCTATTGCTCTGATCTCTTTGGCTGTGTATTTGGCTCTGTGTTTCTTATTTACTAAGACTGTTTAGAAATTCGTCTACACTGAGCCAGATGAGGTGGGCACTCATGACGAGGAATATGTGCACAGGAGAAAACACTCATTGGCTAGACGGGACTTCTCTTTTATTGTAGGTGGAAAGAGAGCTAGCCTCTACCACCCTGGGGCATGTGCTGGGCCTCCACATGTGATGTGTCCAGAGCTCCCATCCCTGCCTCCATACATTCCCTGTCCCCTATGCTCAGCCACAGCTTCTTCCATGTTCCCTGGTAAGCTCCAGGCTATGCTTTATCAGTGGCAGGACAAGTGACCTCACCAGGACTCCTTACAAGGAAACCACAATACAGTCCTAGGTGGTGGGATGTCTCCACTGAACTAGGCCATACTGGAGCCAAACACCTCACTGCAACCTGAAGGTAGCCCTGGGTGCGAGGACCTGAAATTTCTGTGCCCTTCCCTAAACTGGGCAAGCTTCATCCTCAGGGGATGAAATCTGCTACAGCAGGCCTCCTTGTCCCAACACACACACACACACACACACACACACACACACACACACACACACACACACACAGCGTCTGCCCAATTTCCAAAGAGCCTCAGAGTGCCTCTGGGAAACCTGTTCTCAGTCACCTTCTCCCCACAAGGGTCTTGATGTATCCCAGAGGGGAGCAAGCTCTTCTGATTTGTCACAGGGCCTGGGGCCAACAGGATCAACCCGCCATGGGTATCTCTATTCAAAACACACAGTACAGCTAGGCTTGTCCTCCCAGTTATTCAGAAGGCTGAGTCAGTGAGATCACCATTTCAACCCCTGGGGTACAGAATGGGTTCTGGGCAACTTAATGAGACCCTGAAAATAAAAAGTAAAAAAGGTTAGGGCTCTAGCTCAGGGGTAGAGAGTTTCCTTGAATGTGCCAGGCCCCGGGTTCAATCCATGGTATGTGCAGTGGATGGAAAGTTTTAACCCACACTACAGCTGTTTCTGCCATCTTCCACGGGGATCGGGCTGGATGGAGCACCTTGTGTCTCAGGGAAGAGCTTCCTGTCTGTAGGGATGGGGAAGAAGGTACCCTGTGTTTATCTGAGCTTTGGGGACATCACGGCACTGGGGAGGGAAGTCCCCGCTATGTGTGGGGTCCAGCCACAGGCACAGATGGGTCCTCAGATGAAACAGGAAACTTTTGCCTCAGAAGTTTCGCTAGCACCTGGACGGGGCTGGAGTGCAGAAGCCATGGCAGCCCGGCTGCTTCCTCAGAGGGTGCTGGCATCTGAGGTAGCATGAACAGGGAAGGCGAGGACCCCACATCTGTGGGCTACATCTGGAAACGGATACAGGAAGCTCCCAGCCCATTACCCAGTGGCCCTCATCGCCACTCTGGCAGGGGAGACCTCGTCTCAAAGGGCACATCCAACCAAGAAAAAGTAGCAGACTGCCGAACAGTACCGGAAGGAGGGTTGTCCCCAGGGGACAGATGTCGCCACCTACCTGTAGGCCATTGTACGGTGGCTGCCTTCTGAAGTTTGCAGAACCTTGGGTGCATCTTCTTTTCACCTTCTCACCTGGACCCTGCTCCTTGTGTACACAGGCTCCGGACGAGGCCATCTTCAGTGGACATCACCATCTGCCCTTGCCACTGGCAGTTCTCAGCCTAGGCCCACCGGCTGAGGGTCTTCCAGGCCAGGAGGGGCCTCCACTCTGTGGCCTCTCCTCTCGTCTTCCCACTGTGCTCCTGGCCAGCAGACCAGGCTAGGTCTAGCCTTTGTGTCTGGGGGTAGGGGAGGAAGCCAGTTGGGGGGCGGGGGTGGGTAATAACTCATCTGTCCTCACAGAGACACCAATGTGACAGAACAAGGTTGGGCATGGAATCTGTTCATCAGCAAGTGTTCAGGACCACAGTGAGTGACTTCAGTGTGACACCCAGGGTCACCACTGAGACCACAGCCTTCATCCTGCCATTAGGGGCAAGTCTGGCCAGGACTGAGTTCTTCTTCCAAGACTACTGATGGTCACTATGGGAACGGGGTGGGGGGGTGTTCAGTGTGGGCTCCAGCATAGGAGCAGTTCTTCCCCCCTGCACGGCAGGGAACATTATACATCGCTGTGACTGGGATGAGGCCTACTCTCTGGGCTGAAGGTCGCCAGGACCCAGGAGCCGAGGCTGGGCCTCTCTTAGAGAAGCCCTAGTCAGCAAGGTAAGTTCTCGTCCTGGCTCGCCCCGAGTGGACAGTGACTGCAGCTCACAGGGCTTCTGCCCTCATCCTCCACAGGGCAGGGGACAGAGCCCAAACCCTCCGGAGGTGCCAGTGTCCAGACCCGACTTCCCACGCTTTCTCCGGCACCTGCTGCTCTCCGGTCCCGTTAGAGGACAAGGGTCCACCTCTGCAGAGGGCTGGAAGAAGGACACAAGCGTGGGACTTAGGGGGTGAAGGGGCAGTGAACGTCACTGCCGGTCCCCTGAAAAAGATCTCCCCGTGCCCTCTAGAGAACAGAGCTGGGGGCCTGAATTGAGTTATGTCATCAAGTCCCGAGTGTCCTCCTCACCTCTGAGCAGAAAGTGGTGACCAAGTGTGGTGTGTGGTCTTTGTGTGCAGGCAGAGCAGAGACTCTACACATTAGTGCCGTTCCTGTGACTGTAGGTGGCCCAGTGACTTGGGGACATGGGACTTGAGCAACAGAGGACACAGAAAAATCATGAAGCCACCTTCTGCTGCCTGGTGGATACTGACTTCTGCAGTGGGCGCTGGTCACAAGCATGCCTTATACCATACTCCTGTGGACCCAGTGCCTCGAGAAGGGCTTTTGGTTTCTGAAAGGAGGGTAGCTTTACAAGGAGCCTTCTGGAAGACCCAGGAGTGGCCTTTCTGCTTCTGTGAGGGCCAGTGGGCATCTGGCAGAGACCATTGCTGTCTCCCAGAAAAAGGAGCAGGGCCGACACCAGGATATGGCAGCCTCTCAAGTACTCACCAGCTCAGGGTGCCAAGCACAGCTATGACCAGAGAATGAAAGCTAGGGAGAAAAACAAGAACAAAAATAAAAACTGAAAAGGAAAGGGGAGGATGGAGAAACACAAGGAGAGAGAAAGAAAAATCAGAGTTTGTAGCGTGTCTGTAAAGCAATGCGCCGTGATCATAGACAGAGAGGGACCGTGGCCAGCTGGGAGGACCAGGCCAGCACAGGACATGCTTAAGGGGCTTTGTGAGAACCCGAAACTTAGGGTGACAGTGCCACCCCAAATAACGGTGGGGGACTAGGTATCATTTAAGGCCCAGTTGTGGGCTCCACACCCCCACACAGCACGCCAAGCTTCCCAGGGCCAGGAGTCTATGGAGCGTCACTGAGCCGAGAACCATAGCAGAACAGGAAGACGCTCCCAGGACCCAGCATGCACAAATACTCTAGTTCGGGTAATGGCTCCTTTATAAACAACCAAGTATTCTGATACCCTGAATAGATTTGACTTGAAGGATTGGTTGGGTTGGGGGGAGGGCAGGCCAAACTAACTTGGAGAAAAGAAGCAGTTACGTTCAGCCATTCAATGTTGCTCTAGTGGTAATTCAAACATGTGCCCTTGGGTTAAGACACAAAATGAAACAGGCATACCGTCTGGGGAAGACTTTGCCACCTCTGGGGTTTGCATTGATTTGATGGGCGAGTAGCCCATAGAGTAGCTAGCATGTCGGCCTAGCCTTGAGCCATCTAGCAGCCCTCAGTTTACCACGTCTCCCTAAAGAGTGGAAGTCTTTCCCCAGGGCTCCACTGTTGGTGGGACCAGTGTCCTCAGACTGTCAGGTCAGAAGTGTAGTGTTAGAAACTCGGGTGAATAACAAGATTGCGTCCCTTCCTGGCTTCGCTGGGTACCCAGTGTGCATGTCGGGTGTTTGCCCATGTGGCCTGGAGTTTGTAGGTAGTTGCTGTGGGATGTTCTGTATGTCCTGTGGGAGCCCGTTCTCGGGTTCCTCGTGACTTTACCCAGCAGGTCCGCATAGAGGATGATTAGGACCACGGGCCTGAGTGCAGGTGTCTGAGATGGTCTGCACTTGGCTGTGCTGGGGGATGGTCTGTATGTCAAGTTGCTCTGATTGGTCAATAAATAAAACCTGATTGGCTGTGGCTAGGAAGGAAGTATGGGCGGGACTAACAGAGAGGAGAAATAAAAGAACAGGAAGGCAGGAGTCAGTCACTGCCAGCCGCCTGCCAGGACAAGCAGCATGTGAAAATGCCGGTAAGCCACAAGCCACAAGCCACATGGCAAAGCATAAATTTATAGAAATGGATTAATTTAAGCTATAAGAACAGTTAGTAAGAAGCCTGTCATGGCCATACAGTTTGTAAGCAATATAAGTCTCTGTTTACTTGGTTGGGTCTGAGCGGCTGTAGGACTGGCGGGGGACAGAGATTTGTCCTGACTGTGGGCCAGGCAGGAAAACTCTAGCTACAGGTAGTCCTTGTTTCAAAGCATATGCCTGCTTGACTCTGGGGTCCTATCTTCATGGCAGACCTAGGAATTTATGTGAGGTCTCCTGGGCAGTGGCAACAAAATGCCCCACCGATGGCCATTTTTGTCGCTGCTAAGGCTGGCTGGGCTGGCTGAAATGGACAGCTGCTAGGGACTGGTCTGCAGAAGGCAGAAACCACCCCAAGGCATGGCTAAGGCTGGTGAGGAGGTGGTCTAGAGGGTATACCTGGGGGTCAGGAGCAAAAGGTCCCTGTGCCCTGAGAGCAGCTCTTGGGGACTGTGGCCTATCTTTCAGGAACCTGATCTTTAGACAGCCAAGCATGATGAACCTGGAGGGTTAAACCCTCTGCACCACCCAGCATGGAACAGGATCCTAGATCACTGGTCCAACATATGGATCCAGAGGGGAAACTGAGGCAGTGCAAAGGCTACAGGACTAGGCTGTGTGAGGGGATCCTGGCTCTGGCCCAGTGTACCCACAGCTCCTGTCCCATGGGCTGTTTTCTGTTCACCTCCACTCTGCTTTGCATGGGCTGCCTTGCAGGCAGGTCTCAGCAGTGAGACCTGAGCTTGCATTTTTTTTTTTTTGATCTATAGATGTCAGGCAAGCCCAACCCCCACCCTCCAGCTCTGCCCTCCCCCATTCATTTTTTTTTTTTTTACCTTTTCTTCCAGCTCCTTTATTTGTCTCTTCTGAGTTTCTATTCTTTCTTCTAACTCTTTTATTCTCTGCAACATTAAAAGAAGGAAGATATTCAAGAATCAGGGGATTAGGGTACCAGCTATAAAAGGGTCAAGGTTTTCCCTCACTTATTTGGTGGACAATAGCCCACAAAGCAGCTGCTGTGTTGGTCCAGCCTTGAGCCACTTCTGGTCCCCAGCTCACCACTTCTCTTCAGATAGAGTGAGAGTCATTCTCCTTTGATGGGACCAATGTCCTCTGACCTGGTCAGGTCAGAAACTATAGTGTTTAAATGGTAGAGCAAGGAGTCAGCCTATGTCCTTCCCAGGGCCATTGTACAGAGCAACAGGCAACCAGCAGTCAGAGCTATGAACTAGAAGAACCTTCCTTCTGCAGCTGAGGCCTGGGGCCTTGGAAGCAACTGACTGTCGATGACAGTCCACTGATGTAGCAAGAGGGACAGGGGTGACCTTCCTAACCCTGACTACCCTGGAGCCCAAAGGGGCCCAGGGTGGGCCCATGAGTAGAGGGGAATAGGCACATCCTACAGGTTGACAAGCCCTGTCCGATGGCCTACTGACCATCACGGGGAAAAAAGCATCCCGTCTAGCAGCTCATCGAAGTCTGCAGGCTGAGCTTGTTTGTGTGTGTAGGATGGTCTGGTGTGACTTGTGTCCATAGACGCTGCTTTCCGGCCAACCCCACAGGCAGAAGCTGAGACTGTCATACACAACAGGGCTGGGTAACGGTTGGTTAGCCGCTGTCCACAGACCACACTCACACCACCAGGGGACAGTGTCACGTAGGAGACCTGGAAGCCAGGAGTCCACGGAGAGCTACCTACCACACAAAGGCTTTAGCAACACAACTGCTAGACTAGGAGCTAGTTAGGGAGGGGCAGGGACTGAGTATGGAAGGGGTGGCCACTGGAGGACACAGCTGTTGGACAGACGTGTGGGTCTCGGGAAGCCCAGCTGACCCTCTCCGCCCACCCTGCCGGCCGCGTCGGCACCTGCTGCGCAATCTGCAGCAGCTCCATGCGCTCCCTCAGGATCTGCGCATCGCGCTCTCGCAGCTCGCTCATGACCTGGCGCTTCCACTGTTCCACGGCCACTTTGAGCTTCTCGCGCTCTTCTTCTGACAGCAGCTCGGCCACTTTGGCCCCGGCTTCCTGCTGCAGGGCATCATACAACATGGCTTCCAGCTCCAGGATGTGCTGGGGACGGGAGACAGGCATCAGCCCTCCCCGTCTTCAGGGGTGGGCTCACCCTCTCCAGGGTGGACAGCTTTGCCTCTCAGCAGAGTTGCTACTGGGGAGGAAGTATGCCCAGCGGTCTCTGGGGGAAGGGCTTGAAGTGTCACAAACACCCTACTTCCTATCCAGCAGGCACCCTAGAAGAGGTGGGGCTGAACACCAGCCGGGACTCCCTGCTGATGTCCTGGTACCACAGTGTGCTAATGTTTCTGCCTCAGCAGCTGCTCAGAGAAAATGGAACTTTAGGGAGATCAGAACTGCACTTTCACTGTTTGTATGTTTGTTTGGTGCTGGGGAGGGAACCTCTCCCGCCTCCCAGAACCTCAGGAAACAACTCTATCAACATAGTCAGACCCAGATCCTGAGCACCAGCCTTTTAAAATAAGCATGGCGGCTGCCGGGCGGTGGCAGCTCACGCCTTTAATCCCAGCACTCGGCAGGCGGATCTCTGTGAGTTCGAGGCTAGCCTGGGCTACCA